AGGGCTGCTCTCCATCCCTTCCTCCCCCAGCCTGTATTGACACCGGGGGTTGCCCCGACCCAGGTGCAGGACCTTGCACTTGGCCTTGTTGAACCTCATGAGGTTCACAGGGGCCCACTTCTCGAGCTTGTCCAGGTCCCTCTGGATGGCATCCCATCCCTCTGGCGTGTCGACTGCACCACTCAGCTTGGTGTCATCTGGAAAATGGCTTTGCTTGTGGATTTCTCAATCTTTTAAGCACGAGCTTAACACTATTACTGAAATCCGGATAGCAGTGTGATAACCCACTGCAATATCTTATCCTTTCCCAGAAGAGAGTTTCTCACTGCAAAGGAATTGTATTTTTCAAAGCTGTGAGGTTCAGTAGAGCAGCTGCTACTCGGCAAGAAAAGCATTTATATCAGGTTAAAAAAGAAACACCAGGCATGGTTATGAAGTATTATGTGAATCTAAGCCATGCCAGAAGTAAAGCTGCCCATAATAATCTATTCTGTCTCCCTTTCTTCCTGTACCCATCTGTCTCCACTTGTCAGATTTTTTTTTAATTAAGTTCGAAAGTGTTTGAGATGTGGATTTCTTTTTCTTCTGTGCTTGTTTATTAATCACCACAACATTTTGTTCATCTATTACAGGGGTTCTCAGGAGCTGTAAAACCAATAATCTAATAGTTTAATGCGGTTACAAGATCTCCCCCTCCTGCTACACATGCATGCAAAGGCACACAGACAGATAAATTTTTATGATCCAGGCTTTGGCCAGGAGACATTATTTAACATCATAAAAGTAGCAGACAAAGAATTCTTACTATTAGAGAACAAAGTTACAAACCAAATTCAAGAAAGGCATACGGTCTGGAAGCTAAACCGATGCTTGTTGTATCGTAGGAAGCAGCAAATTCCCACTGAAGCTCTTCCAGGAAGCAAAACGCCATGATGGTTGAGTAATTGCTGGAACAGATTGCCATGCAGGCAATATCCCCCGAAGAAAGGAAACTGAAATAGAAAAAATAAAAAAAAGTAACATCAACATAAAAAGGTAGAAGAGTCATGCTGAACATGAGAAGTAAACTGTGCTTTCTGTCAAAACAAAATGCACAGAGTGCGCCGAGAGAGCGGACTACAAAATACATTGTTCGCACTGCTGCAATAGTCCTGCAGCCCCTGTAGATCCAACACTTGTTCTTAACTCATTCAGTATGCCTTAGCACGCTAAAGATCACGATACAGATTTTATTAAATTGCTACATCAGTAAAAATTGAGAACGTTATTTTCTCAGGATGGCTTTAGATCACGTTAATAAGAAAAGAGATGGCCAGAAAACATCCCAGGCAAGAAGATTTTGAAAGAAAACACAGTGGGTTTCCACAAACAAAAGTAAAAACAAGCAAGCTTGTTCACAGAAAGCAAGCAGATGTATTCTTTGCTCCCCTTGAATATGACAACTTCATATTAACAGCAAGAGATATTTGTTAACTTGCACAAACCAGGATATTCAAACACTGTTACTACTAAGTCATCTGTAACAAATAAAGATGAGTTTGTATCAGAAACAGCACAATAAAAATTCTACTCCAAAAGGGGTCCCTCTAACACTGAAGCCATATTTATGCAGAAGTTTCCACTTACAGATAGCCCAAAAACCTTCTAGGAAACTTAACAGGGGGATACATCTGACCAAAATGTAGGCATGTACTTAAGGATGAAATAAATCACTCTCGTCTAGGCTTCATTAAATAAGATGGGAGCCAGGGCACCTAGCTCAGATGTCAGCTCTCATAACGTAGATAGCTAAACTTCCACAATCCCCACCATAATTACAGATTTGTAATTATCTCTGAAAAAAGACTGAGGAAATCCTCCCTTATAGGTTAGCCATTTGCTAGTAATATTTCAGTATAAAACAAAGGTTTGAAGGCGAACAATTACTCTCAGTATTTTCTCTCTTTTCTACTATTTATATATTTCATCCCTCTCATACAGAAATACTTATGGTTTCTATTTTGTGACATTTTTATTTATTCATTGTACTATGTGCTTGAGATTTATGGTTTTGATTAGCTCCGTTACAGCCTAGTTACGCTGGGTACGTTCCCTAAATTCCTTTTGTCCCCAGCTCACGGCTGAGGATCAGCACCAAGCCTGCGTAAAACTACCTTTTCCCAGTTGTCAATAATTTATAGCCTTTTTGCCACTTATCTGTTTGCACTCTTCTCATTTCAGAGCCAGACGCATAGCTACTTCTGTAGAGGCTATAGAAGATTAAAAGCAGTAGAACATGTTAGCATTAAAGGGCACAAGTTCGCTTTGAGGGAAAGGAATTAAAATGCTAATCTCTGCTTTTCCAATTGATTCGGTGTAAGTTCATTTATCTTCTTTCTCTAATCACTACCCCAAAAAGGGATATTTAGTTTTAGCTCAGGGTCACTTTAAAGTTTTCTCACATTTGCCAACCAGAAATGTGAGCACAAGGTAAAACTCATTTTTAGAACTAAACTAAAATCAATAGTAAATGAAAATTCTCATCTCTGAATGAAATCTTAATTTCTCAAAATAAAGGCTAGCAGATCCTTCTCCAATAAATAAAAGCAAATATTTATAATTTCTCCAAACTGACTACTGTCAGTATGCTTCAGGCCTCCTCAAGACACACCCATCAGCCAGAGCTTCTAGAGACTTGAACCCTGATGGTATTCAGAAAATGGAGCAGGCAGCACGTAGGAGGGAGTCAGGGCAGGTCTGTGCAAGCCAGAATCAGAGCTGTAGGAGCCTGAGAGAAGGCATCAGCAAGACTTGACAGTCACTGAAGAAAAGGGTTTGGGGTTTAGACCAAGCTAAGTTATTCCTAGGCACTAGGATGCCATCTTAGAAGATATTTGTAGAAGTCCAAGATGCTCCCATTGCTAACAGTAACAAGTACTGCCCATTGAGCAGAAAGCATTTGCTACAAAAAATTACAACTAAAATAAGCAATTCTTAACCTATGCTCACTAAACTGAGTAGGAGCTGTCTGGCTGTGGTGCTGAGAAATAAGGTTTCAAAATACTGCTTGGAGGTTACAATCTAGACATGCATGGTGGGATTTCAGATTGGAGTTAGGCACTATAGAATATACCTAATCCTTAAAGTTCAACTAATCCCCAGGACAACCATTTCAAAAATTAAAGTAAGAAACCAAACAAACAAAAGCAGGGACTTACTGTATGCTAAGGTCACGTCCTTTTGCCGTGCCTCGACTTGGATACTGTGCCAGAATTGAGGATAACGCCTTTAATCTCTTTCTGCATTCCAGAAAGTCCTGGTTGAAATGAAAATCTGTGGAGGCTGAGAGGGGAAGTCCATCCCTCACCCGCACCACACAGGCAAATAAGATCATGGACATTCTCCACTGGAGTACTCATGAGGACAACCTGAAAATGAAATATTCAATTAGGTTAATGGCATGTTAATGGCAGTTATATTAGTTACTTACAAACCAATATGCTAGCCAGAAATATGTCAAGGTGAGAGTTTATCCACCACTGCTACTGAACGGTACCTCTTGTAACACCACTGCCACTGAAAGGCAACCAAACTGTTCTCAAAGGTCACGGCTGTGTCCGTTTTTTACCTCGTTCAGACAAGGAGGTGAGGCAGGGGATTTGACAGGGGAATTACCTACCTGAAAAATATCACCATTTTCCCTCCTGCTTTACCTCATGCATCAGAAATGCTGAGTAAAGTTCTTAAAGGTATTTATGGAAACTGGCTAACTCCCACTGACACGCTGCATCTTCACTAGTGTTGCAAATAGTTGCATTAGCGTTGCAAGTTGTCTGATTTTCTAGTATAACGCACAAATACAAAAATAAATTTTAGGCTACAGCCTGTCAGGCTCTTTTTACAGAATCAACTAGGACTAAATATAGAATAAAAGTTGCCCTCTCTTGACTTCTTACTCTTTTAACAGGTCACAATCTCCCATGAAAAGTTATTATTGGGATTTACCTGGTACGTTCAGAACACACACGAGATCTGTCCTTCAGACATAGCATGAGTGTTCAGTGCAAGACATTAGAAGACTGATGCAGCAGCTCACATAATCTCTGAAAGATAACCATCATGAACATTTTAGAAAACTAACCAATGACCTGTACGTATATATATATTTACAATGTAAAATCTCCCGTGCAATAGGTAAACATAACCTAGAAAGTATTCTGCCTAAAGGAAAAAAACAACTCATTTTTTTATCTGATATACCAATTCCTACATGGATTCAAAGACACTATGAAATGATATGCAAAATATTTCTGATGCCCTGATCACTGTCTTTAAGTTATCCTAGCTTCCTGTAAAAAAGCAGCTCTAAATCAACAGACTTTAAGTGATTATCACAAACAAGTCGGGGGGGGGGGGAGAAAAAAAAAGGCATTTACTCTGCTTCAGGCAAGCTACATAAATGAAGCATTAGGAAAAAAAAAAAAAAATCACATTGTGAAGTCAAACTTCTGATAGAGGGAATGACTGCTTTAACAGCCCTGTATCAAACAATTAATTATGATGCTCAAAGTTTCCTTGAAATATGTCTCATCATCAAGTGTTTTTCTTGTCTAGGAAGGTAAGAGACCAAAGCCTCTTCTAGTTCAAGCACTCATAAACTCTCTTGCCTGTAGAGCTGCTCTAATGTCTTAATGAGGGTTGAGTTCTTACCACAAGTGGCACTAAGAGAGTCTCATTTCTGCTCCACAGGAATCACTTCCACATAACTTGTAGGAACTATCCCTCTGTCAAAGGTGAATGCAATTTGTCAGCGTGTTAAAGCAACTAACAATTGTCAGAGGAATTGACGGAAAGCATAATTGCACATAACTTCTTTCCTTAGAAAAGGAAATTAAAACTACAGAAGATTACACGTTACTTGAAAAGTGTTATTTTGAACTTTTAAAACAGAGATTAAAGAAGAATTAGATGTTCATTTTTTTTCCCACTATCCCTCTCACAGTTCTTCTCCTGTAGTCATTTGAGTTGTAAAATCAAACTAAGCTCAATGAACTTCATTTCAGCATGCATGAAAAAGAATTTCAACAATAGTCAAGATTATAATTTGGGTGAGGAATTGGTTAGATGGTCGCATCCAGAGCATAGTGGTCAATGGCTCAATGTCCAGGTGGAGGTTGGTGACGAGTGGTGTCCCGCAGGGGTCCATATTGGGACCGGTACTGTTTAATATCTTCATCAATGACACAGACAGAGGGATCGAGTGCACCCTCAGCAAGTTTGCAGATGACACCAAGCTGAGTGGTGCGGTCGACACGCCAGAGGGACGGGATGCCATCCAGAGGGACCTGGACAAGCTCGAGAAGTGGGCCCCTGTGAACCTCATGAGGTCCAACAAGGCCAAGTGCAAGGTCCTGCACCTGGGTCAGGGCAACCCCCGGTGTCAATACAGGCTGGGGGATGAAGGGATGGAGAGCAGCCCTGCTGAGAAGGACT